TCAGCAGTTACCCAATCAGCATTCCCATGAAGTGGCAAAAAGTTCCTTGACACACATTTCAAAGCTTTTTACACACTACTGCTTGCAATAAAGCAAACCCAAAATTCTTGGTTTCCACACCCAAAGGCACTAGAAGGCAGTGTGGTAACATAAATGATTATATTGCACATTGCACGCACTGATTTCCATATTCAGGGCAGATTCAACCTGGAGAGGTATTAGTGGCAGATCCTTCACATAGCTGAGAAAAATAGTGCAATCTGAAGTGAGGAGAATTGTACACAAGGGGATCTAATGCTGATCTGCCAGAGAACTATAGTTAGCTGCCAATTCCTGGTAGCTGTGTTAGAACACCTTTCAGAGATACTAGAATCAGCTGACCACCTATTGAAAAACTGTTAGGTTATGCTGCTTCTTCTCCAGGCTCGGAATCATTCTGATTTAGACAATGGAAAAGTCCATTTCTTTCAAACCAAACTTTATTATCTTAACCACTATTTCTCCAATGCTGAGAATCAGTTGATTTGTGGGTTAAAATCTTCCATTTTCCCTACCACTCAGACCAAATATCTGATTCTCGTGCTTGGGGAAAGTGTCTGTGAAGAGAGAGAATTTGGTTTTCACTTGTGAAGATTCCCCAGGACATCTGAGTCCTAGAAATTTTGACCTGGCACCTTTGAAAGCAGTGGCTCTCCTCTCTTAAACGTATCAGCTGTCTGGGAACGGTGTCTCATCAATCTGATAAAAGCAGCAGCATCCCCTTCTGATGATTTGTCTCATGTTCAAAACAATCAGAATTCAATATTATAGTGCAAACTATCTTCAGACAGCTGGATTATAGAACTGCACCCAGAGAAAAATATATGTGAGAGTAATGCAGGTTCCCAAGTGGACCTGGACTGTAAAAGAACCTTTTCTTGCACTTTGGAACTTCTCAGCCCTTTGACTGCCCACCATTGTAGACTTAAAAGTGGTGCAGTGTTTTGTGGTCATAGTCTGGACTATGCTTTTTTTCTGCAACAGTATTGGAATTCTTGTAATTCATGGGCTTTCAGGTTTGCATAGATTTCCTTCTGCATCCCTGTGGATCCAAAACGATAATTAGAAAATTAGAACAATTCACAAGTTCTTATCCTAGCGTTGCATTTAAAGATTGGATTTGCTGCCAAACTGTAATGTTTAATATGAACAAAAAGGAAATTGTTACATGGAAAGTATAATATACATATGGAAATAGGACCATCTGTCATAGAAGAAAAAGTCAAACTTTTTGATACTAAATAAATTAACAGGTAAATTCTCTTAAAAATGTATTACTGGTACACTATCAGATTTTACCTTTTTCAGAAAGATAAATGGGAGCAAAAGAAAAACTCAACAAAATAAGATAAAACTTTTTATTCTCTTGTGCATAAAATTATTAATTATTTTAATAATTATTTTGAAAGCAAACATACAAGAAATAAAATTGTTGTGTGCTCATGTGCTAGTTGCTAACAAGTTTTTCAGAAACATGTTCAGTCTTAGAATCATAGATTGTAAGGATTTGAAAGTTTCTTAATTATCATCTAGTGGAATCTCTTGCTGGTTTGTGTATATTATGCTAAGTAAGTGAATATTATATTTTAGTCATTTAAATTTTGATTTTTTTGAGATCAGTATCCCATTTTTTTTTAAAAAAAAATGTTTTGGTCCTTTATACCTTTCCTCCTCTATATATGAAATCAAGATGGCGTACATGGGTGGGCCGTAAAGCATTTCAGACTTAGTTCCAAAAAAGTAGCTTGGAGCACATTGAAGTGCCAATTGAGCATTTTGTCTGCAATTCTTTAAAAAAATTAATCTTTTTTTGGACTTTGTCTTCTGCAATTGTCATATGATCCAGGGAAAAATATAACTCCTTTAATTATGTTCACATCCCCAGAAGCACCTTTTGGGAAGTGAATTTGAAGCACTAAAGAGCACTGGTACATAGAACTTCAATTTTCACAATCATTTTGTGAGATAAGTTGAGAACTAAAGATCCACCCATTCACCAAATCTGCTTTTGTCATCCCCCAAGTCCTTATTTAACATCTTTACTACTAGCTATAAACAACACACTGAAACAGTCTGTGAGGGCTCATTGGTATAGTGGAGTGGAAGGCAAGGAAGACTCATGCTAACTGAAAATGTTTTGTTCACCTAATGAACCCTGCAGCTGATTCAATGACTTATTTAGAAATGCCATAACAATGTAGATTATGTATAACAATGTAGCTCAATGTAGGTAAGTTTAATATAGCATAATAAAGTAAACCTATAATCAATCATAGCAAATATTCAAATTGAACATCTTTATTAATTATATTTATTAAATAAACATACGCAGTTGGTTATCCATACATAGGTCTAAAAAATTATGAACTGACTTGTTCCTTTGTGCTGCTGTGAAACTATAAGCCACTGATACTGTTTGTGGTAAGGAAGCTGTAGGGTTCTAGATTCCCCCAAAGTCAAGTAGAGACAGTTAATCAGTTTTAAGTTTTGTTTGCATGCTGGAGTTAATTTTGTAGCTCATTCATATTAATAAACATATCCCAGTTTACTTCCAATACTAGCAACCTTGAGAAGCCAATTAAATTAATATCCAGTTCTTACAGCTGGGATTTGTCTCAGACTTCATATGGATTTATTTGTCCTGATGAAACAAAAACATGCTAAATTTAATTTTAATTTCAGTCTCTTCATATGCACCTCCTCAGTTGTAATCCAGGTAGAAGCATGTTGCTTTCAATTGAATGTTCTTCTGTCATGGGATTAAGAACTCAGTCATCCTAATTACAGATACAGAACTTCACAAAGAGTTAATTTGCAGTTGTAACTAATCTTAGTCTTAGGTAGAGTAATGGTTAACATTAGGTAAATTAATTCAGGATTTAGTACCAGGATGGGTGATACTCAGCTTCTCCTTGCTTACAATGGCAAGAATAAAGCAAAACCATTTAAAAATTTCATATTATCAGACCTTGGATGCAAAAATTACAACAACTATTGTAGTGCATAATAACTTATAGATTTAAAAAAAACATTAAATCCTTGCTGCCATCTGCTGCTCATCCAGACTTTGCAGCCCAAGCCTGATCATCATAAAACTGCATGGATAAAGATCTGCTTAAATTCATTTCTTTAACCTCAACCATACATACATAGACATAAGCATGCCAGCTACCCTAAACCTATGAAAATAGTTTTATACTTTCTATAATCTTTTAATTTCCTATTGTCAAGTTATAAAATATTAAATGCTACTTGGACTGTTCCCTTAAATTAATTCAGTCCAGGAAATCTATAGCTGCAAATATTTTAACTATTAAATATTTAACATATGAGGAACTAGTGTGCTTTCAGAAATTACTATTCTCCTGAAGATATATTTATGAAACCACATCAACATGACTTCTTGTTTAAAGAATAAGTGTTTTGTGTAAAAAAGGAAATCACAGACATATTATTTAAAATATCCTAAAAAGAGTTGTATATCTTTTATTCATCTCAAAAGTGAAGAAATTGAGGTTTTTGACTCAAGAGTTTATAGGTTTCTGGACAGAACAAAGTTTAAAGCCCAGTAATTTCAAACAGCTAAGCACTGCCTAAATGTGGGCTGTATTTATTTCAGGAATGCAAATTGTGTCATCTCTGTTCTTTTCTTCTAAAGGGTAAACATTGATATTTGAAATACCTAGATTATATTTACAGCTGTACAATACTAACATCATGTATTTCTAAACATATTCTAATCCATCACTTTTGGAGTAATTAGGATTAAGGTCAGTTTACAAATTAACATCTTTTGTTGCTTTTCCTGATATTTACATTTTACTACCATTGTTCAATAACTTCTCAACACTACTCTTAAAAATATTTCATGTTCCTATGTGCCAACTTTTATCCAGATCACAGTCTATCCACAGCAGCGGTAATCAAAGTCCTATTAAAAAAAGATAAGAGTCTTCATTTCAAAAATTAGTGGATTTCTGTTTACTACGTGGTTAGATACTTCTTTGTGTATTGTACAGGAATGAGCCTACCTAGTCAGCCACATATCTTCAGCTATGCAAGAGATGTTTCGCACTTTTACCTGTTGCATGGACAGCTAAACAATGCGATTCCCTGCATTGTATATACTGACATGCACACACAAATATATATATATATTGAAGCAAAAGCATTGAACATATTATGGGTTCATGTTGTCTGCAGGTGAAATGATAAAAGAGGAGTTACTTATAAGTCATCCTGAAAAAAATGATTTTTCTAAGATCAAAATACCAAAAATGGTTTAATTAATAAAAAAAACCCAAGCTCTAATGCCAAATAAGAGTGAAGTAAACACATGAGAAATATTACTTCCCTTCTCCATAGTGGGTAACTATAAATAGCCATATCTAATAAATAAGGTTTATTTCCTACATTACTTTTCTCTTACCTGTACCCCACTATACTCACAAGTATAGAGGGAAAGGTCCATACTCAAGACCTGCACAAAAGAAAGAGAAATTTTACAAAACTTTTTAATTGTGTGTGTGTTGATGGTGGGATTGCTTGAAAAAAATTG